TTTAGTCTTTAGTCTCTACTCTTATTTTAGAATCATGTGTCCACCACATGAAACCATGGAATAAGTTTGCAATGCCTATTCCCTTGATCATGACATTTCTAACATGTAAATCACAATACAAACATCTCTCTCACTTGAGTGGGACAATATGCCCAAAACTCTTTTGTTCAAATCTTTGAGACTTCACTCAAGACATAACAATTAAACATGAATGCAATGTTTATGATCAAACTTTTTATAGCAGTTAAACATACTCGTACTCTTCAAAACTCTTCAAAAGAATTCAAAACTTACTTTTTTTTTCTTTAAAACTCATTAAAATCCATAATGCATACTATCTAATCTTTGAAACTCTTTAAAAGCAATTATGTATGCTCTATTGCTCTTTACCCTTTAAAACTCCTTAAATAAATTCAAATACACACATACTCTTTGAAACTCTTTTAACACTTTAAACTACTTTCAAAACTCTTTGTAACTCTTTAACACATCATATGTATTACAATTATGGCATGTATGGATACTTTTATAGAAGTTATAATTCACAAAATAAGTGTAGAGATATGTATTCATGAGAGTAATTCGCCTTACCAGTCTATGAAATATTCTAATTCATTTCAAATTTCAAAATATGAATATAAGACAATGAACACCCAAGGAACCATAATAATTATAATTCATTAATTAATCTCTAACTAAACTATTTGGAGACACTTGTAGCTTAGATGAAAGTAAATATCTCATAACACTCGTATAATGTCCCAAAGGAAGCAAAAAATACTACAAAACATTTACCAATTAAATAATTGAAGTACTTAACTTTTTAGGATAGGATGTCAAATCGACAATGTTAGAATTACACTAGGCCAGTCACATAACGACCGTAAAGCTAGAAAATCGCTCCAAAACTTATCCAATTCATTTCTAACACTTCCGAATTGATTTCTAATGACCAAGGATTATTATCTAGCATCCAAATCTATGTTTTAAGCCCTAATTTATATTGTAACTAACATCATTAACATGATTAATTCATCATAAAGGAGATCATCATCCTACTTCATTTAAGCTTCAAAAGACTTTCATGACTTCTATATTTGATTTCCTTCAAGGATTTGCACATAGACACTTAAATCTATATAAAAATCATATGACCTAAATTTCATAATCAATTTCAAATTTAGATAGATTAACGTCTGATACACCATTGTTAGGATTTAAAGTTCCTAAAGCATGGATTCCTTCGAATTCAAGGTTACAACATAGAAATGGAAGCATAAACTCAAATCTAAACCATATATTCATCATCCATATCATCAATCATAACAATAAACATCATTAATTTTGGATTTGTGAGCTTTTCATGAAGATTGGGATTAGAAATGTGTAAACTAATAACAATCTACATAGAACTAATAATAATATAGAGAGAAAACGGTTAATGTTACATTGTTAATAGAAAATTATAAATACAAAGAAAGGTAAATAAGACTATAAATAGGAAAGATATATAGTGTTAACCTAGCTAATGGGCTAAACATAAGGCCCAATACAAAAAGAGCCCAAATAACTTATTATGCTAACATCCCCCTCAAATTCACAATGTGGTGAAAACAAGGATCGAGGGTTTGTCTTCAAAGAAACAAAAACGAGAAGTTGAGTGTGCCTTAGCAAACATTCATATCCACAAGCAACCAAACACTCTGCATTCCAATAGCGACAAACAATCTTCATCTAAGCAACAATACCAAACACTCTTCAAGAGAAGCATTGAAACTAAACAACCTGCACAAAAACATCCAAAATCAAACAATATGCACGGAAAACAGTCAAAACCAAACAATCTACATAAAAATAGCCAAAACAAACCGATAGCATTTCTACATTATACAAACGAACCCCAAAGATTCTAGTAGAAGCATCACAACAAAGAAAATCCAATGAGCTAAAATTCATCGTACTAAACTAATGTACTAAATCCTCTTTATTCTCTTTCCCTCCCCCAAACTCACAATGCTTGAGCAATAAGCATTGAAAGTTTGCCAAATAACAATAAAACCAAACCATTACAGAAGCGAAGACAACCAAACAAACACAAGATTCGAATCAAAATTTAACAATACTGGTGGAAATGGAAGCGAAAATTGCAACTAAATATAACAAAACAAAGATTCATGCAAACGAGGCATCTCTTTGTTTCAAAACTTTAAACCATATATTTGATAAATTAATAAGAAAAAAAACACACAAAATTGACTATATAAGGTGATGCAAGAGCAAAAGAACACGGGTTTTTTTAAATAATACCAAACGAAGCATATCATCTTTATTTTTTCGTAACATTAAACTTAAATAGAAAAAACATTAAAACCCATAACAAACCATGTTTGTACCAAGAAGATAAGACAAAAGCATTATAATTGCTCTTAACATGAAGCAACATTATTGTAAAAGTAAAACATTTTTTTTAATAAGAAGCTTTCAAAAAGAAAAATGTAATAAAACTTTCGATTAGGTTTCATAATTGAAAGAAAACTGACAAAAGAAAAGTGTAACAAAACATTCGACTAGGTTTCGTAATTAAAAGAAAATTGTAATAAAAGAAATATGTAATAAAAACAAACTAATACCAACAATGAATACAAATAAATACATACAACAACCAAACAAACAAAACTTCGAACAATAACAAAAATGGACAAACGATGTACAGTAACAACGATGAACACTAGCAATGAATAGTACCACGTTGAATAGTACGAACGATGAGTAGTGAAACAACAGAGAAAACGTGTTGTGACTGTCTTTGGTTAAATTGTAAAAAAAATCAAAAATGACATTTGCGTAAATAAAGCCCAACTTTAAGATTTTTTTCTCATCTATTAAAACATAATGCAAAAGATTACAAATAATGATTATTATAAGTTTTTTTTTAGACAAACTAACTAATCTACTCCTATATCTTCACCGAAACTTGAACATACGACCTCTAGAGACACTCCTTACTATCAACTAAATACTATAAGCTAAAATAGTTTTTTGAGTTATAATAGTTTAATGCTTAATAAACTTTAGTTGGAGTTTGAGGGTCTTTAATACCATTTTTAATGCATTTAACCAATTTTATTTATTGTTGCAGTTTTTTAATAATCTTGGTAGAACTTTTTAAGAGTTGTAATATTTGAAAAAAATAATGCAATTAACGAATTCTTAACTTATGACTTTTTGAGTTATAGTTGACTGTATTGAAAAGTTATGATATTTAAATGAAAAGTTATGATATTTAAACATGGAATTAACAAACATTTTATTTATGTTAGTTGATTATCAATAAATATAAAATAAAACATTGTCACAAGTCAAGTAATTAGATTATGGGTTCCTCGTCTTATTTTTATCACCATTATAAGACATTTTATTATTGTTATTTATTACGACATTAGGTGTTAGATCCATGTAATACACGGGTTGATTTAAAAATAAATTAAACATTAAAATGTAAAGATAAAATCTTTTTTAATATACAACTTTAAAATAAGATAGAAAGAAACGTATTTATTGCAATTTAATATCATATATATGATATTTAATACTTTACATATATAAGTATATATGATTTTAATTTTAAAAATTGAAACAAACCAAAAATTGATAAGTGGATAATATTTATGTTAAAAATACTACAAAATGACAAGTGTTAAGATTGATATGTGGCAAAAAAACATTCATTTATTAAAGATGATGTAATTAATTTTATTATTATTTATGTACTGTTTGATTTTTGAACAAATGCCCTACTTAAATACTACATTAAAAATAAAATATTCCCACAAGACATATACTAACACTATTGATTGTTTTTAGAACATATTAGCCGGTTTAAGATACCATCTTTATATTTTATTATGATACATTTATCAAGATATGAAATTAATCACTACAAAGATCATTCGTATTATTTTATTTGGATTGTCTAACTATTATATCTATATTATCTTATAAGAGGCCTTTCGAGTAATATGATTCAAAATATAAAATTATTTTTATTATAATAATTTGAATTTTCTTATTAACTCTCCCAAATTAATATAAACCTTTTTAACTACTTGACACTCTTCTTATTTCTTTTAATATAAAAAGAATAATATATTATAAGTTTAAAAGCACATAGATTTTAATCATTTTATTAAACATCATCGATTTCAACCCTTACACATATTACAACTTTTCAACTTAAACTCTTAATAGACCTATTATATCATAAGGTTTACCTTATAAGGTTCCAGGTAAAGACAATTTTGATTTAGTGTTAAAAGATGTTCTTTTGGTAGTTAATACCAAATGACTAAGATATTATTAACAAAATATCTTTGATTGTTATTTTAACTTTGTAAACTCATTCCTATGCAACGGGCGTGGATTCATCTAATATACTATAAAAGAAACATTTTCATTCTAATCACATTCATTTGAAACACAAAAACTTCTTCTTCTTTTCAAATTAATACAATAAATAACTTACTATTCTAATTTTAGTAGTATCTATAATTTTTTTAAACAATAATATTTTATAAAAATCTTCTATAATTTATTAATAATTATAAGTTGTTTAAAGTTAACTAAAAATAATAATAACATAAAAAAATATATAAACTACATAACATTAGATTAAAAACAACACTTTTTTTAAAGAAAATCATGATTGAAATTAATTATGATCCTGTTGAAACTATTCATTACAATAATTGAAAGTAACATTAAATCTAGAATTATATTTAGTTTTATTAATAAATATGATCAAATAAGTAATTTAAAATTAATTAT